CAGAGCAGGTTCTCCCCAGATGGAGCAAAGCAGAACCAGCAGCAGGATCATCTTGCTTTGACTCCGAGTCTCTGCAGAGATGCAGGTAAAACCTGCAGCTCAACTGACAAGAAAAACTAACGGAAGTAAAAGGAAATGAGCGGAACCGAAAATGAAAGTCAGCACCCACGAAAGGCTTAAAAAAACCCGCAAACAAACAATAAATCATTTATTAGATATATAATTAAATGGGACATAAAGCGAGAATTTAGGAAGAAAAAAAACAACAGAAGCTCAGATCGTTTTTTTTCTGCTCATTAAAGTAGAAAGTTTTTTCACAATAGTGAGAAAAAAGCAGAAGGATTTACCGCTGACTTCCTGCGCGCCTCCAGGATGTAGTAGAGGCGCTAGGGGGCGCCATAGCCATGAAAACATCATAGGTACATGGGCTACCATATATGGTGCGACTGTCCAGCCCCAGTGACGTCATTGAAATGATTTTAAAGGTATTTTTTTTTTATGTTTGATTTAACTTGAAAATATCATAACTGGAAAATCCTTGCAGAGAAATATCCTTGATTAAAAAAAGGTCCTAAATTCGTCATATTTTGTGTTTTATATTCAGCTGATGATTCAATGAATTACTTTAATTTGCTCCTGTTAAAATATATATTTATTTTCTTTTTTATTTCTATTCAATATAAAAAGTAGAAATCACATTTATTATTGATGCACCTATTAAATACCTTTCATCTACCTCATCCGATGTCTCTGAATTCAAATTGAATTATTCGTTTTTCTTCTGTGCTTCTGGAGAAACAAAATGCCGCCTGTTGATTGAAACTTTAGATTTAAGATAAACACTTTACTCTCTACATTTTCCTCTTTACATTCAAAAGCAGAACACTAATATTCATTTTCCACCTGATCGTTATTTTTTGCCAATTTAAGACGGACCTCCTTTCCTCAGAGCAGTGAAGATGGGTGGAGGCTGGGTCTTCCAGCATCACTATGACCCGAAGCACACAGCCAGGATAACCAAGGAGCGGCTCTGGAAGAAGATGATCTAGGTTCTGGTGCGGTCTCCAGACCTAAACCCAATAGAGCATCTTTTGAGGGAGCTACAGCCCAGAAACCTGACTGATCTAGAGATCTAGAGTGGGCCAAAATCCCTCCTGCAGTGCAAACATGGTGAAAAACTAGAGGAAACCTTTGACCTCTGGAAAAAAAGGCTATTGGACCAAATAGATTTTCTCAGGTGTTCAAATATTTGCTGCTGAATCATACAAATAAATAGTTTAAAAATTAAACATTGTATTTTCTGGATTTTCTTTCTAGATTATGTCTCTAACTGTGCACATGCAGCTACCATGACAATTTCAGACCCTCCATGATTCTAAGTGGGAAAACTTGCAAAATAGCAGGGTGTTCAAATGTTCCTCATAGCAGCAATACAATGTTACAGCAACTTATTTAATCTACTTTATTCAAACATTCAGAGCAGGCTCATTAGAATAATTCAAAATTTGCAGCTAGATGGATTTTAAAAACCACCGTTACCTCTGGGTTGGGTTCTGTAATGCAACAGCCAATTTTATAACAGAAGCTTAAACGCAGATTAGGATTGCAGGTCTGTAACGTATCTTTGCCACTGATTGGCTGCAGATTCTAAAGAGATACTTCATTTGGGCCATTATGGCAGAGATACAGAGCCAATGATCAGGCTCGTCTGGCCCTGACCTACATTTGTGAAACAGTTTTAAATAAACCATAAATAGAATTGAAAACAGCTTCTTGATTATTTTTCTATTTCATCATAAAACAAATTAAATTCTACAGTGGTTAAAAAAAAATCTTACAATGATTAAGATTAAACGAGAACTTCTGCACCTTCTCTTTATCGCAGGCTCAAGGAACTTGATTAAGTTTGAAACAGTCAGTCAGCCAAGCAAAGGGACGTCCAATAAATAAAAAAACAGAAAATAACAAACATTAAAAGCCCATAAACCACAAAAATCAATGCAACTAAAAATGCAACTAGGGCCCAGTAAGTATAACTGAGTTTAGGCCCAAAGTTGGCAGGTTTGAGAGGTTTTCCTGCTTCAGCACAGCTGGTTTCCATTGACAGCTGATTAACAGGCTTTTGCTGAACTGCAATCATCAGAATCAGCTGCTGGAGCAGGGAAACCTCTAGAACCTGCAGGACAGCGCCTCCCAAAGGCCGATATTTATTGTCAATTTAGTGACAAAAACAAAAGTGCAACAATGCAAATCACCAGGGTTTTTCCAAGAAGGGAACTTTCACCCAGTTCACAAGATGTAACTAGCACATGAACAGCAGCGCCTGTGGTTTGCTGCCAGCACACAGCTGTGGTGCACTCGTTTGCAGACTGTGAAGTCAGAACATTTGCAAGTTCACTGAAAAACACCGACTCATTTGAAGAAAGATCTGCAAGTATCCACCATGTATTCCTCTAAAATAACAGCATTTACCTGTTCGTTTAAGACGTTTCTGGTCTCTTAAAGCCAAGCCATTTCCTCAAATATCTCAGCAAATATATATATATGTATATATATATATACACATATATATACAGTACAGATATTTGTGTGAAAATGTAATGAGTAGAAGTCAGAAGTAGGAGGAAAAATAAATAATGGAGTAAAGTATAGATACCTAAAAAGTGTATTTAAGTACAGTAACAAAGTATTTGTTCTTCGTTACTCGACAGCTCTGCACATATAAATGCTTATCAAGTTGCATCACCTTCTTACAAACAACTCTTTGCTGTTTTCTAACCTTCTCATTAGCATATTTGTCAATCAAAACTAAGAATACCTCTGAATGCTGTACAGTCATTCTCTATAAACCTAATAGTAATTGCTTTATTGCTTGAATCATTACATACAAAGTGACATTGAACCTGTTGTCAGAATGAGAGGGCAACTTTGATCACCTGAACATGTATCCCGTTGTTTGCATTTGAATTTTCACCACTCAGATGTTGTTTGGCAGTGCTATGCATTAAATCAGGCATCCCCAAAGTCGGTCCTCTATGACCTGCAGGTTTTAAAGGTTTCTTTGCATTTAGCTCATGATTCTGATGACTGCAGTTTGGCAAACACCTGATAATCAGCTATTAATGGAAATCAGCTGTGCTGGTAAAGGGAAACCTCTAAAACCTGCAGGACAGCGGCCTTCCAGGACCGACTTTGGGGGTGCCTGCATTACATAATTGGAAGCTGGTGGAATATCCCTCTCTCTACTCCCGATTATTAAATCGGAGAGTTTTTCTACCCTGAAAGTGGAACGTATTTAACCGCCATGCTCATACCTAAATGGACTGCTAGCAGCCATGGATGCAGCATGTGATGACATCACAGCAGAGTCCTGCAGAGCCTCCATTAGAGGAGACATTTGCTGTGATGCTGATGAAACTATGTGGCCAGGACTGCCTGGGTGTGTATGGAGTGAAATTTGTTCCATTATTGTTTCAAGTAATAATTTAATCAAGTATTTGTTTTCAACTTTTACAAATGTAAATTTTTCAAATCCAAATTGTTCATTTTTTATACAATTAAATTTATACTTTTTTAATTCATTCTTTTTTTGTTATTACTGTTTTTCAGACTGAGTTTCACAGATTGCATTCTCTGCATTTCAAACCACACAGTCTATAAAGTTCGGTGGATGCAGAGACAGAAGCAGAGTTTCTTTCTTGTAGGTTTAATAGTGAGGTTTCTGGCAACAGAAGCATAAATCCACACTGAACAGGCGGGGAACTTAGAAACCAAAACTAGGAGACACTCAGGAGGAACATGTGTACAAAATGAAGAGAATCCAGCACAGAGGAACTGCACAGGAGGTGTTTATATGGGAGAAACAAAAATTGCATGGGCTAATTAGCTTAATGGGGAGCAGGTGTGAACAGGAGCAAATAGAAAGGTGCAAAGAGGAAAAAAACGGGACACCAGGGGGCAGTAAAGAACAACCAGGGAAAATCGGATCTGTCTGTAACTAGGAAAGAACTTAAAGCTAAAGGAAATAAAACTGAGTACAACTAAAATTAGAGCAAAGAGTAAATAATACCAAAAATGCTGAAAAGAGAAAGTTAAAGGGAGAGTAAAACTATGGCTTCAAAAATGATCAAAATTTTTTACAAACACAGGTTAACATCAAATAAAGCAGAACTTAAACAAAACCAAAGAGTCCAGAAAGCGTAGAATCATAAAACATTTGCTCCTGACCAATAAAAATTAGCTGCTAATAAATGTTTATGCAGACCAATAGAAATGTCTCTTCACTCCTCAGTTCAATGAAGGCAAACAGGTTTTAACTCTGATTTTCTGAATTAGTTTTCAGTCCATAGATTTCTGTCATGCTCTCTCATTTTAAGTGTACATCTCATTTAGTCCAACGGGTGATGGATTTCTAATCAAAGGATATAAATTATTGCTTCTCTCTTATCTTCATGACGCTGCAGAGAATCCTGGCATATTTATGGGGAACCACTCAGTCGTTAAAGAAAGGACTGGTTCCTCTTTTGCTGCACATAGAGAACCACCATCACTGAAAGAAAATAAGGGTTGGAAAAAATAAAACTTTATTAATAACATGGAGAGAAAAAAAAACGTCCTTGATGGTATTTTAATCACTTGGACTAATAGAGAAAAGTGTTTTCGGAAAAGTTGTCTATTAAGCTTAGAGAGCTTTAGAAAACTTACCAGTAAGAATAGAGCCTTTGAGAAGGAAATGCAGAATCAAAAGGCCTTCATGCAATGAAGACAGAGGCTGCATCAACACTGTTGTGTCACCATATTTAATCTGAAACATTATATTTATAGACATTTATAAAGCTAAATTCAACAGAGCTACTGTGAGGTAAAGGTCATGACCTCACAAACAACATGAACTAAATAAGAAAGTGACAAAGGTGAAAACAAAAATAACTGACTAGTGTGAAACTGGTGGACGGGGTCTGGAAAAATGTAAAATGGGACAAGATGAAAGTGAATAAAGAGAATAAAGAGAATAAGGAGATAATCCAAGTGAGAATAGTCTGATAAAAGTGAACACATGAATAATTAGAAAACTAAACTTAAAAAAATGCACAAACATGAAAAAAATAAATTCTGGAAAAGTCTAAATAAACATTAGCTCTAAAAATAAACTAAGCAAATCAACATTTAAAGTTAATAAACGATAACAACAAAATGATCTAAATTAATAACCCAAAGAAGTGTAAAAAAAGATCCTAAATTATGACAAAAGCATTAAAAATCACCCACCTTTATCTGCTTAATGTTAGTATTCTGAACTCCTCTGATTTCACAGATGAAGGAGTCGGTTTTATTACTGTTTTCCTCGACTTCCAAGATGCAGGGATGTTGCTTTGCATCCTGAATGCCCCACACTAACACCTCTGCTGCTGACATCTCTAGTTTATCACAACTTTTCTGAAAAAAACAGATGCAAAATGGCACCTTTTATGAAAAAATGTATCCTTAAAAAAAAAAAGGATATATTAAAAACCTTACGTGAATAATAATGCGGGTGTCATTTCCGATTCTCTCGGTCGTGAAGCCTGTAAAGTCGGGATCAGGATGGTAGGTTAGATTCAGCAAACAGGGCAGCGTTTGATTGGCCACCTTCATGAATATGGCACTGCTGCTAGTCTGCGCGTTTTCTGCTGCACGGCTTTCAAAAGTGAGAATCTGAAGAAAAAAAAGATAAAAGAATATTGATAGTTTGATGAAGCACAAAAAAATAAAACAGTATAGCACAATAGAGACGGATTAAATAAACGTTTTCTTTAAAACTTGAAATCCATTGTTCTATCAGAGTTATTGTTTCTGCTGGTGTTCCCCAGGGCTCAATGTTAGGCCACCTTTCATTTATTCTTTAACCGTTCCCTCTTGGCCTTATATGCAACAAAGAAAATTATAATTTTACTTTTAAGCAGAGGAAACAAAACTCTATACTGAGTTCATACTCAATATAGAAGCCTTCATTTAGATTTTTTTAATTACTACCTTCTCTTAAATTTGTTTTTGTTTTTTTTGTTTTTTACATATATTTCTTTTTAAAATGTGTGTTGTTTTTTTTCCTTCCTGGTTTTACTAAAACAACTGTTTTAAATAACAAATTATGCCTTGTAATTAAAAAGTTGTCCGTAAAATATATTGGTATTATAAATAATGTTGCCATTATCATTTAATTTGTCTGTGGAGCTACCTGGAAGCTGCTGTTCCTGGGCAGAAACACCTGCTGTTGGACGTGGCTCTGAATCAATCCCTCCACAAAATCCAGGCTGGTCCCAATGAGCCGGACTTTCCTCTTCCCACTGGAGGGAACATATGTATTGTCATCTTAAAAGCATAATGACATTTAGTTGAGACTCTAGATTCAGAAGACAAACACAATTTGCGGACAGAAGTAATAAAAAGTAAGCATCCTTAGAATTCAATTCAAAAATACTTTATTAATCCCAAACTGAAAGTAACTATTCCAGTAACTCATATGTTATTTTTTAACCAGTTTTTGTATGTGTTGATGTTGCTGGCAGGAAGGATCTCCTGTAGAGGTCTGTCTGCAGTGGATCTGCAGAAGCCTCTGACTGAAGACCCTCTGCTGGTGTCTAACAGTCTGATGAAGAGGATGCCCACTGCTGTCCATCATCTTCTTCATCTCCAGAGGTTCTAGAGGAGTTCCTAGAACAGAGCCGACCTTCTTTATTACAGTAGCTGGTTGAGCTTCTTTCAGTCATTAGCTGATGATGATGATGATGATGGAGGAAGAGATTAGACTCTCCATATCAGACTGATAGAAGATCTGCAGCATCTGAAGGACCTAAGCTTTCTCTAGAAGTCCAGTCTGCTCTGTCCCTTCTTGCAGACGGCTTCCCAGTTGTGTCTCCAGTCCAGGTTGTTTTCCAGGTGAACATCAAGGGATTTCTACTCCACCTCCTCCTCTTCTCCCAGGATGTTAACAGGATTCAACTTGTTCCTGTTTCTTCTGAACTCTCTAATCATCTCCTTGTTTTGTTGCCCTTCAGGATCAGATGATTAAGGTGATTGCCACAAAGCGCGTCCAGCAGCTAAAGTTACATTTTCTGCTGCTTCTGAAGCGCTTCAGATGCTCAGAAGATCATGAGGCGCTGCTCCTACTGCTCCTGCTGCACAAAATGTGTTGCAGGACCTTTTGCTGCACCTTGATGCATGTCAACCATTGATTTTGCATCTAAACCAGCTGCTTCTGGTGCTTCTGCTTTGCAGTCTGAACATAGCATTAGAGAGATGAAAGAGCAGGAGAGAATGTGGAGTAATTCAAACAGCCAGTTATTGCATTTGGCTGATGTATTTTGAGCTTTGCAACAACTAAACTGATGGCATCCCACACAATATCTGCAACAATAGTGGGTGGAATGCAAACAGTTGCAAAGACAGCATGGCTCTCTGGGTAAAACTGGTAATATCGGTCAACTGCATTGAGCCCAGTGAAAGTGCAGAAACTTTACTATTCTAGATAAGATCTGCATGAAGGAATGTGTCAAAATACCAGCTATAAAGGTTGCAACACTGTGACTTGCAGACTTGCAGAGACCTGTCAGAAAAGATTATGCTACAAAGCATTCAGTTTTGTTCTTCCTCAAATATGTTCCCTGCTGATAAAAATACTAGTCTTATAGTTTTCTCAGGAAGTGGGGGTGCTTCACAACTATTTGTGAAAGCTCTCAACACCATTTTTTTTCACAACTTTTAAGTTATGTGAAGCACTGAGTTCTAGCTCATATCCACATGCAAGCCATTATTGCTGCATTTGTACATGAAATTTGAATAATATGTGATTATCTAAGCTACTCTAACTCCACATAGGAACATAGACATTGCTCAGCTGAAAAAGCCACCCTGAGCAGCACATGGTTGGCTGTTATGTTTTAGAAATAGCATGATGCATTTCACCTAACTTATATAGTTGCTCTCCAGCTAAAATCGGTTTTAAATTAACTCTGATTACCTATTCAGTGCAATTCATTTCATAACCCACACCCCCATAGACCATATCACAGGCTTGCCCTCCTCCAATGGTTTCACAGTAATACAATTATTAACAGATTATCCAAAGTGGCTCATCTGGTTCGTCTCATAAAGGTTCCTTCAGCCACAGAAATGGGTAAGATTCGTGCTAACAAGGTTTTCTGTCTCCCATGTGACATTGTCTCTGATAGAGGTCCTCAGAAGAGAGGCTTAAGTCCCCTCAGCCCACGCAGCGTCTCTGAGGTGCAAAAGTACTTGGAGAAAAGCCAAGAAAACCATGAAATTGTCAACATAGCCATGCATTTGACTACCAGGTGGCAGTCTACGGAAGACCTCCCCTCATGCCAAGGGAAATTTAATTTGGCAGCTTGTTTTGTCAGCCCATATCCAAGGTACGGTTTGTCTTCAACTTTCCCAGTCCATAGACACCCATCCCCCTTTCCATGTATCCTAGGTTCTAAGTAATGCCTTGACTGCAGTCATTGTGTCTGGCTGGATTATAGTGTCTCAAGTCTGTCTGATTATTTTTTAGCATATTATACTTTAGCAAACTGAGACTTTTTGCCAGAATGTTTAAATACCTTCTCCAGCTGCTCTGTGGTAAGATGTCAGTGCAGACTGGTGAAGACTGATAAGTGACTGCAGCACTTCCATGGCAGCTACCGTCTGGAAGAACAACACACACCTCAACCACATTTCTGGTTTCGGTGGGTGGAAGGTGGAAGGTCAACGAGACATCAGTGTTGTTCCACACAGGAGATCTAATCAGAGAAGATGAAAAACACACAGAAAGTGAGCATGAGACTAAAACTGAAACCAGCAAACATAGAAATGAGAAGGAAAGATAGAGATTATCTGAACTAATCACTATTTTTACGCATTTTATTTCAAATTAAAACATTACTGTTAAAT